TATATCTTATATATATATATATATATATATATGGGTTATTCTAGAATACACATCATTAATGGTGAACTTAGAATTTTAATACTTTAAAATTTTTTTATCATAAAATACCTAAATTCCTTAAAGCATGTGTCTTGTCTAGCAAAGTAGTATTGTACTAACTCGGTAAATTTAAAAATAAAAATGAATTTATAAAAATATATTTCTTTAGTAAGCCAATGTAAACACGTGCTTGTACAATTTTGATGAGGGTGTGGTTTCTATAAGGTTGCAACCTTAAACAATCCGATTAAGGTGCACCTCCAAATTTTATCATGACATATAATTTTAGTGTAAAATTTTTTTAGGATTATTTGAAAATTATTTTTATCTTTAATTATAAAATTTTAAACTCTAAAAATAGTTAAAATCAAGTAGATCTATAAACACATGAAAATCTTGAAAATAGATAGTCTAGATAATGTGTTGCAAGATGCACTATTTTTGGTACCCAAAACCTTTTTCCTTTTATATTCATACATCTCGATATTGAGATGATCAATTAGAGGTTTTTTCAACATTAAAATAGCCTTTCCCGATGGATTTTCAAAGTGCATCTGTAATTTTACATTTTAAGGTTGAAACCTTATATAAACTTTTTCCTATTTATGATGATTTATGAACTTTCTTTTATCATTTCCTCCATTTTTATATTTTCCTTTTTTTGAAATATTTGAATTATTTCCAACTATAAAAATTTATCTCCAAATTCTATCTTTTTTTAAAAAAAATCAGTTTTAGACTTTTAGTGTTCTGTACTGTTTATTATGGTTTTCGCTGATTTTTTTAACAATTTTTTCGGTTTCCTTTTTCAAATTTATAGCCTTGCTAGGAACGAATACTACTCGGGCGAGTCCATTCGAACTCATATGAGTACCTCGACCTAGGCCGAGTCCAAGGCCCGCGGTGAGTTTCAGAACATTGCTCTTAATTGTCTAAAGTGGTAAAAAAGATATAGTCCACAGTGTTCTTCACATGTACCTCAAATATTGTATCCATAATATTCCAATTTGTGGGGTGGCTACAAGCAATAACTATGCATATATACCTTTTAGGATGCACTTTATCCAGTGGAAATAATGCAAAACTGAATCTACAAGCAAAGCATTTGATAACCCAAACCCTTTCACTTTGAAAATTAAAGTGAAGCTTAATATTGTGACGTATTTCCTATTAATAAAGCCTTGAACATTTGTCAAAAAATAAAATAAAATTGTGATGTATTTGGTCAACATTTCAAAAAGAAAAAAAAGGAAAAAAAGAGGGGAAAAACAAGAACAAATTGAGGAGGATTCCTACCTTATGACTTATGATGATGGTTGGAATGAAAGTCCTCAAGGTTGGATCATGCAGGGATGATTTTGATGAAAATACAAAGTCTTGACTCTTAGAAGCACAAATGATAATCGATGATTATTTTTCTTTTTCTTGGCTTTTGAAGAAATTGGAGAGCTAGAAGTGGGAGGCATCTAAAATACCATAGGAGCATCAACGAACAAGATGTGGCAAAGATGACTGGAATAATTGCAAAAACAACAGAATTTGATCAATCATTTTTTCTGTTGTTAAGGCGAGAACTGAACAAAGAACTATATTTTTTCATCATCAATCGAATCACTGTTTGCAACCCAGGATTCTATTTTTCCATCAATCCAATTGTTGTTCACTTTTTTTCTTTTTCTTATCAATCAAATAGATCTCTTTACTCGTACAACTTAGATATCTTGTATTTATCGAAAATGTCATTGGATTAAGGATCCTAATTAAGAAAGGATATTCTTTCTAATGAGGTTTACTTGCAAGATTTGAACCTCTGAGAATGGAGATCGATGTAACATGCTTTTTACATGAAGAGCATAGTTGACAAGAACACAATGACTGGATGCTGAGTGCTTGGAACATAATTTCTTGGAATCCATGGGAAATTTTGGTGGTGCAGGAACAGGTTGGAAAGAGGGCCCTGAAATTCCATCGGACATTTGGTTAATACCATCAAAGGAAGTTGGAAAGCTGGTTCTGAGAGTGGGAATGCTACTCAGTAGGAGATTCCTACCACTAAAGCTTGGAATCATATGTGCCACCATTTATCATGAGGCATTTGACTGACGCGGGATGGTTATGATTATATAGTGCTAATGATGATTAAACGATGTGAGTATGTTTCAGATTTTAAATTTTGAGATCCACTTTAATGATATTTAAAAATAAAAAATAAAAATAATTTTGAGTTTATAAATACATCTAACTTTTGCACCATCTCTGTTTAATCTTAAAATGTTATTTTTTTTAGGCACATATAGAAATTTTTATTTCTTATTTTTTTTATTTTTTTATTTGAGATAGTATTTATGACAATATACTCTATATTAAGTATTGTATATTGTTACTACATATGTAATATGTCTCAATATATTGTGGATATATTGTCATACTAGGGGATATATCAATATATAGGTACCACCAAACATGTGCATATATTAAAACTAGAGTGAATACAGTTGTTTACATATATAATAATGTCTCAATATATT